AATCATATCAAAATTGAGATAACCTTTTCCCCGTGTATTTTTTTAACTTATTCTGAGATATTTGGGCATTGTTTACATGTGTCTTCTAATCACTTTACTTGTTTAAGGGATAGCTTGTTTATCAATAGGGAATGTAGGACAAAATCAATGTCATAAGCTTTGGAAAAAAGCTTTCTGGTATAGCACATTCATATTATAAGGGAAAATCTTAGTCATGATTCTTCTTTGAATAAGAGATGATTTCTTCTTATTCTGTGTAATGGATTTTTTATAAGGTAGCATATAGTCAATTACAGTGCAATGGTGTTGAAAGTAAATGTATTGACAGTTTTCAAACAGCATTTTATAGTATGTTATGGAACCTCCACATTTCCAAGGCTAGCTCTCTAAATATATCTCTCGAATACTAAAATTCAGTCACCTCTGTGCCTCACCCATGTTTGACTAAAAACCTGGGCCATAAAAAATAATTTAGAGAGGTTCTGCAAATTCTAAATCAAACGTAGAAGTTTTAATGAATTATCTTTATCAGTCACAGAGCACTGTCTTGTTCAAAGATGCTGTGATTGTAACTGGAGGTGGGGCAAGTACCAGTAAGAAGGAGATTTAAGCAGCTTGTAATTAGTGTAATTAGTATTTTAAGGTTTTGTTGGTTTTAGTCCTACTGTGTAAGGAGTCTTATTGAATTGCATCTCAGAATGCTAATGCTTCCCTTTCCTTCTCAGACATTCACGGAAACGCTGGGAAAACTTTATCCATAGTGAGAACAGACACCTCGTCAGCCCCGAAGCCCTAGATCTTCTGGACAAACTTCTGCGATACGACCATCAACAGAGACTGACTGCCAAAGAGGCCATGGAGCACCCGTACTTCTGTGAGTCTCCAGGGGTCCGGTTTATTAAAGGAAAAATTCTTCTGTCCTTTATGTTTGAAGCCAGTCAAGAGAATTCTAGGTATTTGGATTTAATTTGGATTGAATTCTGGAATTTGGTCTCATTAGTGCTAGACCATTGAGACAACTCGGCAGATCTGTTTCTTGATCCCCCAGCATGTTTGCCTGTTCACCGCTGTCGCTTTCTTGAGTCTGGTCTGTTTGACCATGCCCGGTGGCCCTGAGCTGACAGATCACAAGTATCTAAAATTTGTTTTTAAATGTATACATTTGTGTGGAAACCTAATCAAAGATCTCCCACCCCAAAACAAGTTACTAGTTGAAAATAATAAGGTAACGAATAGTATATTTTTAGAGAAGGAGCTAAGTTAAATAAATAGAAGGAACTTGAGGACAGGTCCGAAAAGACCTCACTAAAACCCTGTCTGAATTACTGACTTTCTTAGGCCTCATTTCAGAGTTTGTCTCCATAGTCAGCTAATGTGGTGGCTTCTCCCCACTGATAGATAAGGCACGTCTCACACTCTCCTCTCAACTATCAGCAACGTGAAATCACTTAGTTCGGTCAGAGGAGACTGAGAATAAGGGAAGTGAAGTGACCCGTCTCAATTCACTATCTGCAGTTGGGATGAAAACTTGCAACCTGTCTGTCGCTTAGCCAATATGCTATCTTTGCCTCTCCTTTTGTCCCCTCTGGAGATTTAACTAACTCTTGCCTGAAAAATAAATTGCTATATGGTCTTGAGCCCACTGGCCCATAAACATTAGTAGACAGCAACTTTAAAAGGTCAAGTACGACTTGGATGTCCTCATTCCAATTTCTGGCACAGAAAGCTATTTTCACCCTTTGAGTTAGATTGAATTAACACCAGTTTACAATATGTAAATCATCATCTGTTTGCTTTTCTGAATACACCACATACTTCTACCAAAAAAATACATTTTTTAACTACTGTTGTTTAAAATTGATAGGTCTTCTAATGGCTCTTTTTGGTCACCCTTCCCTCGGAAGTGCTTATTACTGCACATGCTCTGAAGATATCAGGGGTTGAGTATGATGCTAGTATCCGAGGAAAGTAACATAAGAAAATTAGTAGAAATTTTGAGCATTGGGAAGTTTGTATTTCTGTGCCGCTCTTTTCCACGAGTCTGGTAGTTGGAGTTGTGCTCTGAGGAGGTGTGAGCTCAAGTCCCCTGATCGTTTTTTCAGTGTCTGGTTTTTTTTGCAACCTTAATTCTGTCATTTCTGTTGCCCTCCTGATCCTGATCTCTAGCAGCGTGTCTCTGTCTCCCTGGGGAGGGTTGGATTTGCTATGATGTTCTCTTCCACACGGACCAACCCTGATTCTGCTCACTTCCATCCGGTTTCCCTGCAGACCCCGTGGTGAAGGAGCAGTCCCAGCCCTGTGCAGATAATGCTGTACTTTCCAGTGGTCTCACAGCAGCCCGATGAAGACTGGAAAGCGACGGGTAATGCGGCGTCGATGCTTGCCAATAAAACCAACCAACCAAACACAAATCTTGAAGGAAAACTACAGTGTGATAAAAAAGAAATTCTAGTCATTCCTTCTAAATGCAAAGAAGAGTAAAGAGCTAAAAGTCTGTCAAAAAGAAAGAAAAACTCCCCAGTACTAGTCTCCAGGGAGCTGCCGCCCTGGCAGCGTGGTGATGCACATAGTTCAGGATCTGAGGGGCCTCTCCCTTTGGAATGCATGGGAGATGAGACACTCGGAGTTGTTGTACAGTTTCCTTTATTTAATAGGAGACCACTGTTGAGTTCACCCGTTCGGTCAACAAGCTCTGAATATCTGACTTCCTATCTATTCCACTGTGGTCTGGGTTTCCTTGGGTGAGATTCAGGCCCAAGTTTTAGCAACACGTCAGCAGTCTGTACTGACACACCAGCCTCATTTACAAAAAGGAGATAATACAAAAGTGACAGTATTTTTTTTTTTAAAGCTCTTTTACAAATTCATGTTTTGTGTATTTTTTTATGACATGAGCTCTCTAGGAAATGAACCTCGTCCCTGCAGTTTCCTTCTAAGTATTCATTTGGGAGAAAGCTGCAGTCACGTTCACGAGTCCCCTTTTAATGTCGGCAAATGTCACTATAGACCTCATGATGCCGTGCGTAGGTCCACCTGTCTCAAAACTTAGATGCTAAGTGCATCGCTTAGAGCTCACTGTAACCTTTGTTGATTTGCCTAACCATAAAATCTTGTTGGTATTTTTTTGTGTAGCTTTTTTTTTTTTTTTTTTTGGCAGCCTTATAACATGAGGAAACCTCAATTTCCCAGCACATCCCTATGTGCACTATTTTAATGCATCTCTCTGAAACAAAGACTTTTTTTGTTCACAGCCATAACTAAAGCTGGAAAAGTCAGTCTTCAGGCAGGTTGGGGAGGGAGAAAAAGGTCCTATTAGAATTTATTCAGGAATGACCTATTGGGTGAAAAAAATGTTCTTCCCCATCCCTTTTTTGCCCGTTTCTATTCCCATGAGAAATAATTTTCCACTGTAATCAGGGTAATCTGCGTTGTTAATCTCTGATAGGTAAAAGATGAATGTGATGGCAAAGATGAGTCTGTCTCGCTTTCAGGGACTGGAGTTGTGTGGGCAGGGCCAGCCCATGACCCAGGTGACAGAGGAGCTTGGGGAAGGAAGTAGAGCTCCCGGAGCAAGTATCAAAGCTTGGGATCCATTGTGCTAGCCTTCACGTTAGCAAAGGAAGCTAGATTTTGTTTTAAAAAAAATAGGGCTGATTTCATTTGGAGACTTGTCACCAACAAGGTTTGCAAGCAGTCCCCTCACCCCGGCTGCAGAGCCATGCCACAGCTGTGGGGACTTCACATACCGAGGCTAGAGCTAGAGGTGTCTACCACCACATCACACTTTAGGATTTCTTTATTAACTATTTAATAATGCCATACATTTTAATAAGGTTAGATTGTTTGTTTGAAAGCATCTGTTTACATTCCATATTCCAATAAAATCATATTGGTATTGGTAGCAGGTCCTATCTCTAAATGTAGATTCTATTTTTGTTGTTTGGTTGGTGGGAACTTAAAATATAAATAAAACTCTTATTACAGAGTTGAGCTTACAGATTAAAAAATAAAAATAAGATCCCAAAGCCAGAAAATGCATTCAGTTAAAGTCCTCATACCAGTACTACTTGCCTGCATTGCACATTCTGTATATTAATGTATACGTTCTACCTGAAAATTAAAGACAAGACATGAGTTCTTGGCTGAACCGATATTGCTATGTCAGGCAGTAAAACTCAGTGTTTTAGATGATCAAAAGCCTTCTAATGTCCCCTTTTAGGCAACACCGAATTGTTGGCTATTATCAGGGAGATGTGCCATTGTGTGTGTTTCCTGCCCCCCCACTTCTCATTTCCTCCTTTGTCTCCCATGCCCCTCCCCACCTTTTTTAAATTTGCCTGTCTGGACCAGGCAGGCGGAGCCTACTGGAGGGTCTTGGTGAAGTTGTAACCCTGTTTCTTTCCCTTGGGTCCCCAGAGACAATACAAGCACCTGGAAAAGAGTCAGGTGATTTACTGGTGCCTCTCCACCCTTTGGTTACGAGTTAGCAGGTGCAAACAGCCAGCCTGCCTGTCCTTGCGTTCCGTAACGGCGGCTTTGACACAGGAGTAGTCCTTCCTTTTTATGCATACGGTTTACTTTTCTACCACCTGTGCTTTTACCTCTCTTCATGCCTTAGACGTACAGCAGAACCGAGTTTAAAATGCTCACTCCTTTCTGAGTCTGGTCTTGACACCCAGCTTGCTGGCCAGTTGTGACTGCAGGTTTTCTCCCAAACTGAAGTGAGTCTAGTCCAGACCTTTTCTCCTTTACCTGTCTCCAAAATCATTTTGTGTCCAGATGGACCTAGCTTCTCTGAGATTTGAGAGCATTTACCTGGGTCAGGAGGGGGTCTTGGGAGAGCTCCAAAAGAGGGATGTGAGCGCGCGCGCGTGCGTGTGCAGGAGCGGGAGTCTGGTCGCGTTTAGAGTAAGCCACGGTAGGTTTGCCCACCCGACGTCCTTTTCAGCATATTTCTTAAATTCATCTCAGTACTTTTCATTAGACATTTTGTTTGCTTCATTACCTTATAACAGGTTAAAAGTGCCTATGATAGGACTTAACTACTTCCTAAGGAAAAGCAAAAAAAAAAAAATGGGAGCAGGGTAGTGTTACACTGTCATCTCAGGTACTGCCTGTGTTCAAGAACACAGGCCTGGTGTGAGAACAAAAGGTTCCTGTGCCACATACAGATGGTACATAGTCCGTTGACCACAAGTGAGCACAACTACAAGGTTTTGCTTCAGCTGAGAAATCCTACGCTGAGAGCAGAACTGCTAATATTTTCATCTGTGGTTTGCTTGCAGTTCACTCTGCCCTGGATCATATCAGCTGGTCTGCTCCCATCCTATCCGGTCCCTGTGGTAGGTGCCTGGGTGGGAGAAGCCATCAAATGAATAAGCGGACCAAGCATTTCCGGGTCTCCTTACCAAGTAGAGGAGTGCCGAGGCCAGTTCTGTGGGCCGCTTAAACGTCAGCCGCTCCGCTGGGTCTCCGAACACACGTTGTCTAGCACGTCGGTACCCACAAGGCTCAAAGCAGTGGACTCCCTTGCAGAGAAGGAAGGTACTCTCAGGCTGACCAATCAGGAGGCAGCAGAGCTTGTAAGCCGGAGGCGGGGGGAGAGGCTGGGGTAGGGGGCTGTTCAAAGAAGAAAGGGAGCCAATAAGCAAAGCAGTCAAAGGTGGAGCTTGAGAGAGCATGACTTCTTGAGCGGGGAGAACTAGGGGCCACGGAGTTCACGTTCTGGAACGTGGCCTGCGATGGGCTCTGCCCATGTGCCACTTCCAGTGGGACTGAAAGGGGGTGCTCTTGAGGCGGACTCTGAGCCCCAGAGAGCTGGCGGCCGAGGGTCTCAGTCTGTGCCTACTCAGGGAAATGACTTAGGTTCTCCCAGGTGCTGCACTGCCGAGGAGGGAAGCAAAATTATTTTGAGATACAAGCTTAACAGTTGGAAGAATTGTTATATGTGCATTGAAATGGACCTAAGCCCCGTAAACGTTTAATGCCGGTTCAGATTAAATGATTTGTTTAGAAACCTGTGTTACTGCATGAGCACCCACAGGAAAAAGCAAACTTCCCTCCTGCAAATAAATAGGAGTGGATAATAACTTATCAGAGTCAAGGTCATTAAAATAGAAACCCTTTTGAAAGCAAAGGGGTCCACATGAGCACACAAAGCCAAAGTTTGTCCGTGAGCTTAATAGATCGGTAAGACTGAATAATGTCCTGCCTTTAAAAACTAAGCCCAGAGTGGGAATGGGAGAGGGAGGGTGGTGGGGAAACATCTAGCTAAGAAAACCGGTAATTACACGCTTTTTAAGCTACATGGATGTGTTAACGAAAACGACCCCACGCAGGCTTTGGAGAGGCTGGGGAAAGCGATGAGGCGGGATTATACAGGTGGTGCATACTTTTGTGTTGAGACTCAACAATGTGCTACAAATGTGATACTTAATCCTGAACTACATGTATTGAGGATTGTTTCAAAAAAGACAACTTTCATTGAATCAATAAATTAACAGTTTTTCACTTGCTGGCTTTTCTTGCTGTATGTGGTGACTAAGAGGTTGGGACAGAAATCTTGGCACCCAGTGGAAAGCTTGGATAAGTCTTCAAGAACCATGGAGCCGACTTTACTTCTGTTTGCAGAAAAGCAACGCTGCCTGGTTGGTGACCCTTTACAAATGACTATTTCAGACACAGTTGGCCACCTATTTGTATCCCTGGATGACTGATGTATGATTTCTGTGCTGCTGCCCTTAGAGGAAAGGAAAATGCTATGTTAAATCCTCTTTCCATAAATAAAAATGTTGATCATCACCAGCCTTCCCGAGTGGGAGACAAGCCACTGCTCCGAGGACCATAAGCTTGCGTTTCCTGTCTCTTGGGGGAGAGGAGGGGTAAACCTTGGACTGCAAAGGTGTGCATATGGTGGTTGCAGTTAGTTAATCACCTTGGTGTGAAGACTCCTTTAGCAGGAGAGGTGGGACAGGTGTGTCGTGGAGGGGATTATTCGGTTTCTTGGTTCTCACTTCTGAATCACACACCTCTTGACACCTGCTTCTCGGGATTGTCCTGTTGTATTGCACGACTGGAACCTTTGTGGCAGAGTGTTCTGCATTTGTGAAAATCTCTCCCCACCCCGTTCTGTGCATCACTAGCAGACACGCTGGTGTCTGGCAGATGGCGGTGTCTTTAATTAGTGTGTTTTCCTCTCCCTGATCCTTCTGTGGAGTTGGACGCTTGGAAGTCGGTTGCTGGAAGTGCTTAAGGGCAAACAGGAGAGCCATTTTTTTCCTTAACTTTACGTGCCCTGTGGGCTTTCTCAAATACTAAGCAGTAGAACCCTTCCTTTACCCAAGGGAAGTTTTCATGAAATGATGTCTCTGTGTGACAGCTTCCCAGGCGCATAGTTCTTTGCCTCAGTGCTGTGGGACTGTTCTGAGACATGCTGCTAGAATTCTGTGGCTGGCATCTCACCGCCCACTGCACTGTGCTGGACTTGGACGGGGAAATAGTGTGCAGGCCATGCCAGACAGCCACCTGCAGGGAGAGTTAAAAACATTTGAGCTCCATTTTCTCTCGAGTAGACTCAGCCCTTTCCCTGTGTAAATACAGTCATCTAATCCTTAGTCCCAGGCTGTCCTCAGTAAAGTGGATCAGGTCTGATGGGGATCAGGGGGTGGACTGCCAACCTCGAGGCTTGGCTTGCATGGACTGGTCAGCATCCTGGACCCAAGAGAAAGGGAAGAGACTCGGTCACATGTGGTGTCTAGAGCTTTCCCCTCGCTCTCGCAGAAGGCTGTGCAAAGACTGTCTCTTAATAGTGATCAGAAGAGGAAGCAAAAGGGTACTATTGGAAACCCAAAATCATAGTTCTTGCTAGGTTTTGCACAAAGTGGCAAGTCGAGCTTGCATACTATTCCCAGCTTTCTTCAAAAGAAGGAAGCCATGTGCAAGTGGAGGCCTGTCCTCACTCCCGGTCAGATTGATTAATGCCATCTTTCCCCTCCTCCCGTCTCTTTCCCCAGGTCTGTTGCGGTTCCTCCCACTTTTCCATAAGCAGAACGAGAACCAAATCAAACGTCTTAACGTGTGTAGAGAGATCACGTTCCGTGAGCAGACACAAAACGGTGGCGGGTTTGGCAAGCATGAACTAGACCAACCGAAGGGCAGCCCACCACCGTATATCAAACCTCACTTCCGAATGTAAAAGGTTCACACGCCTTTGGCTTCCTGTTGACTTCCTCCTGACCCAGAAAGCATGGGAAACGTGAAGGGTATGCAGAATGGTTGTTGGTTACTGTTGCTCCCCGGCGCCCCTTGACCCGTCCAGTGGCCGCCTGTTTTCCCAGCAGACCACAGGCTCCACAGCGGGAGAACGGGGACATATGTGGCATGATGGGCAGTTACATATTATAATTTTAAAAGTATATATTATTGAATAAAAGGTTTTAAAAGAAATGTATGGAGAGTTTTCAGTATGGAAGGGGCTGTTAACCGAGACCCGTGGTCACAGAGGACTGAGAGGAAATTGAAGAGCATTTGTGCTAGGTTCTAGCCCGAGGACAGGGGACATCCCCGAGGTGAGTAGGGCCGATTTAAGGACGCCGTTCACAGAAGTTGAGGGATGGTGAGCTAGTCCTGGTGATTCAAGGAGTCTCGGTTGCCAGCAAAGCCCCGCTTTGCCTTGAACACATTCATTGTCCCTTGACCCCTCCCTCCAGAGCAGGTGAGTCACTCGGCAATGTAGGTGGTAGGTAAGTGTTACCTTGTCCCCTTTTCTTTGCCTTTGCTCTGTCTCTGTATTTATTCCACTTGCCGATCCTGTCCCCTCTCCCTATGCTCCCTTCTGAAGAAGCATCTTACCTCGGAGGATGGTTGAGTCTGCTGTCTTGAGGCAGGGGAGGGGTCCGGGGTTCTGGGTCCAGATCCAGATCCGAGGGCCGCTTCTGAAGCTCCGGTGAACTCAGTGTAAGCAAGGACGGAATGGAAGCACCAGATGTGTTAAGTGAACAAAACCTATTTTACAAATGAGACTTCCGTCGCTCCCTCTGTCCTCCCCTCCTGGGACAGCTGTGCCACCACAGGGAAGGAAAAGCAACAACCTGGTGGCTGCCCAGCCTCGTCTCTGGCCGTGGCCCACGTCCTCCCACTGCCTGTAGACGGCAAAAGCGACAGGCAGTCCCCAACACCCGGGCGGCTGGGGTGGGGCGCCCGCTTATTCTCCACAAAAGCCACTTGGTCCACACAACATTCTCCTGTCTTCTCTGCTGCTTGTCCCGAACAGGTGACTATGGGAACCCAAGTATGGATGCTCAGTGTTTGAAGCAACTATGGGGGGAAGCAAAGAGGCCCCTTAGGGCCACCACAGCATCACAGTGTCTCTTGGACAAACTTCTGACATGTCCCAGCAGCTCCTCAGGTATGGGAGCTCAAGATTGCATGTCTTGAGCGAGTGAGTGCCCGCAGGCCCACCGCCAGCAGACTGTGAGGCCAACGGGACACCGAATGGATGGACTTGCTGCTTTCCAGCTCTGTCACCGGCCTGCTGTTCTCAAGCGGTTTCCTAAGGCCCTTTTTCGACTTTTAATGTTCTGCAGATTCCCCTTGGTCTCCCAGACCTCTGGGGCAGCATCTCGACACCTCGCTATGAGCGTCTTCCTGAAGCTCCTGTGGACGTGGCACTCTGCGTGCGTGCGTGCGTGCGTGCTTATCTCCGTCACCTGTCATCCTAGTGCTGACACACCAGTGTCCCAGGGTCTTCCTAGACGGAAGCGGCCTCTCTGGAGCAGGTGCACAGTAGCCAGTCTGGGATTTCTCTAGATGCCGTGAAGGATTTGAGCGCCAGCTTCGTCCTCCAATTCCCGTTCTCAACCAAAGCGCCCTGTAACTTCCCTGTGTGAAAGTTTTATTTTCCAGAAACCTCTCAACCAAGATAATCTAGGTCTTTGTGGGTGATGATTGTTCGGTGGGAGAGTGTCTGGTTGTAGAAAGAAGAGGAAGGAGGAGTTTGGGCTTAGGCGGTTTGGGCCTTGAGACAAGGGGACAAGGACCCTGTTACCCTAAGACCAGTCAAGTGCTCATCCACAACGTGCTCGGAAATTCGGATCTTCACATCTTTTAATAGTCCCGCTGGTGTTTGGGTTATTTAAAGTAATACTTAACAAGTTTTCCCGATTACCAAAGTAATGTACGCTCACTGCGAAGTACTCACAGGTTACATCAGAGTAAATGATGAAAGCTTCCCCAACCCCAAACCACATACACACAACACGTGCAGAAACTCCTCCCTTGGAGGTAACCATGGTTAAATTGGTTGTATACCTTCCAATTCTTTTCCTATGGATTTACTAACATTTTAAACTATAATGATATTTATTTTTACAGAAATGTAACCAGACTCAACATTCTTTTTTCTCTAACTTGTTTTCACTTAGTTTTGAAAATCTCTACATATCTACCTCACCCCTTTTCATAGCTGCATAGTATTCCGTTACGTGATGTGTCACAGTGGAAGCGATGCCTTACTAATAGACTCTTATCAGTATGTCTGTGTTGAACAATTTACACATACATTTTTACACGGTATGTATGTTTGTGAGATAAGAGAACTGCCGTATGATTTTTTTTTTTTTTTTTTTACAAAGGACAGTTATGATTCAGAGCAAGCAGTCTTCCAGTCTCTTCTCTCACTGGTATAGGTTGGAACTGTGATGCCTTCAGTCAGGATTGTTGTAGGGCTCTGTCAAGCGTTTGGGGCCTGGTGCCCAAGCTCTGTGCCTCTCTAGGGGCCTGCAGAAATGTTTGAGACCTGGAAAAAAAAGGCATTAGCTCTAACATAAGGAAGTTGTAAAAGAAATATAAATGTGATTAAATGTCTTTCTATTCCTGTGAACTTCATTAATGGTTAAATTCACTATTTGCTTTTAAAAACATTTTTCTCTTAATTAGTGAAGAGTCACAATCACCAATTCAAATAATTTCAAAAGCAAGTTCTAAGATCTTTCCAAAAGTTATAGGAAAAAAGTTATCGAATATGAAGAATGGCTGCCTTTTAGTATGTTTGCAATGCTATGGAGAAGCCTTCAAAAGTAAGCATGCAGAGGGTTTGCAAACGTTTTAAAATATCTCTGGCCAGAGGAGTGGGTGGCGGAATGGATGAGCAACGCTTGCAGAATATTCCACAAACTATTAGAATAACATCCATCTCAAAAACACTGTGCTAAGTGAAGAAGCTGGACGCAAAACGCTACCTACTGAATGACGCCATTTATATGATATTCTGGAAAAGGCAAAACTGTAGGGATGATCTACGGTTATCAGGGTTTAAGGGAGTTTTGAGGGGGAGAGGTTTTGACTAGGGGTAGCATATGAAGGAAATTGGGGGATGATGGAACTGTTTTAAGTGTGGCGATGGTTATATGACTTCGTGCCTTTGTCAAAACTACACTAAAAAGTATATTTTACTGTATGCAAGTTTAAAAATAAAAATTTAAAGATAACAATGTACAGAGGCCCAACAGAGTCCCATTTGAACTTCACTGTCAGATTAGTGGGAGCCTCATAAGCCCACCACTGGCTCTTTTACTAATGTCATCAGGGCTGCTGGAGCTGTAACCACTGGAGCTGGGGTTCAGTGGTCCTCCCTCTGCCAGCCAAACACACCAGTCATTCAGACACTCTTAGGTCTTTGCTGCCAGCTAAGGCAAAGCTCCACACCTCATTGCTATTCCTCCCCATCCCCATCAGCAAGGAGGGGTGAAGAATAAACTCTGCCTTACAGTGTGTGTTAAGTCCCTCATGCCTCTTGGAGGCCAGGTGCTCTGAGTTTCTGGACTTGGATCGAAACGAATGGATGCTGTCCACTGGGATTTTAGCATCTGATCAGTGCTTTTGTGTATTTGGATTCTTATAGCTCCTCATGTTTTAAATAATATCATAGTTATTAAAGCTGTACATTTAAAAATCCAATTTGTCTTATGTCTAAAATCAACTTACAAATCTTGTTAAAACTACAAACTAGTTGGTTTTGTATATAAATACGAACGCTTTTGCTTAATTTTTGAGCAATGCTCAATTAATTCAAAACTTAATGGGTTAAGCCATAAACATTGCTCATTCACATAATCTGATTTTCTTAGACATTTCAAAGTCACCAACATATTTAATGTGTTTGATTTTTACACTTTCAATAGCTAATTTGAAAGACCTAAAATCTGATTAAATCTCTATAAGAACCCAAATACTAAATATCTAAGCCTAAACTTACAGATTCAATAAATCAAAATCTTTTAAATATTCATTGTTTATAAACTTAAATTTTTAGATATTTTTAAATTAAAATATCACAAACCTAATTTGAAATTCCTTTAAGCATTTCAAACTCAAAGTATTGGATCCTCTAACACATTGAGTTATCTTAGTTCCTTCAAATATCTTAAATAACAAGCTAATGTCACAATAATCAGAAATTTTTTCCTTATTTTGACATGGATTGCTGATAACATGGGTTTGATTTACTTGCCATAATCTCTGTGCGTGTTTTGACACCTCATTAAGGTGACATATTCAATCTAAATGCAGGACTGTGATTTGTTCATGGTCAGAGATTCTGGTCTGGACACAGGACAAGTTGCTACTTCTGTGATGATTCTATCTGCACTGCAGGCTAGCAGAGCAGGCCACTCCGTGTCTTGCACCTCATCCAATTATTTTACCTCTTCTGCAACTTTTAATGACCTGATTCAGGTCAGTTGAGTTTCTGTACCCACTGCCCAGACTGCTTCGTTAGATTCTGCTCGTTAGATTCTGCTCTTTTCATTTATTACTTTTTAAAACTGACTCATCTACCCCATTCTAATTGTATAATCATTGAAGGAAGCAACTTACTAGCAAGATTTTTCTTGTGTATTGTCCTTACATACCTTCCTGTTGATGAAAAGAAAACAGTCTTGAAGAAATGTGTTTAATGTGTTCTGTGAGAGACATCTGTAGTTTTAGGTTAATTTGGTCTACATTACCTTTGAAATAAAGGTAAATGTCAGAAGTTACCATTTGGCTCTAGTTCATTCGTTCATTCGTTTGTTCATTCATTCATTCATTCATTCATTCATTTTGTGCCTGTTATGGTGGTGGTATTGTGCTGGGTGCTGTGACACATGCACAAGACAGTCTGCACCTGGAAGAAGCATGCCAAAATCAAGTCTACAATAGGAGCAAAGTCATGTTTGCCAGACACTAATTTATTGTCTCCACACCTTTGATTAATCTTTACTGTAGCCAAGGCCATGATCACAATACATTTTGAACCTCAGTATCAGGAAGAACTGAATATGGTTCCCGTGGACATTCACTGAAAATGAGTAGTTAGAAGTAAGCACTTCTATTTCTCCATCGGCTTGCTCATTGGAGGGCTGTCTATTCAAGGCACTTAAGCCCATATATGCTCAAGGTGTTTCCACTTTAATTAGGGAGATTGCATGGTCAATAAAAGAAATGTGAGAAGGCAAATGAGATGGGTGGTCCTAATTCTGAGCAGATCTCTGTTGTCTAGAAGGGTCTGTTACTGCTGAGGCCAGGAGAGACAGAGCCTGGGCTGGGCCTGCAATGACCAGAAATCCCAAGTCTGTGACTCTAATTCACAGATTCAACACATAATTACCACATACCCCTTTTTGGTGGGCATTTGGTTTAGATACTGGAAATATACCTATAAGCAGGACAGATCAAATTCTCTCAGAAGCTCAAAATCAAGTGCAGGGAGATAGATAAATAACTGTATAGACTATCAAGTGGCTATAGTGTTATGGAAAAAGAATGAAGCAATGTATGGGGGATGAGTAGTTGGGGTTTTAGGGTGCTACAAAATTATTTTCACTGCCCCCCAAGTCCTCTGTGCTCTGCTCTTCATCTCTTCCCACCCCCCCACAACCCTGGCAAACACTGATCTTTTTATTATGTCCATAGTTTTGTCTTTTCCAAGATGTCAATAATTGGACTCAGACAGCCTTTTCAGACTAGCCTCTCAATATGCTTTTAAGTTTCCTCCATGTCTTTCCATGGCTTCATAGCTCATTTCTTTCTAACATTAAATACTATTCCATTGTCTGGATGTACCAGTTTATCTACTCACCTACTGAAGGACTTCTTGATTGCTGCCAGGTTTTCGCAATTAAAGCTGCTATAAACGTCCATGTACAGGTTTTGGTGTGGACATAAGTTTTCAACTCCTTTGTGTAATTACCAAGGAGTGAGATTGCTGGATCCTCTGTTAAGAGTATATTTAGCTTTGCAAGAAATCTCCAAACTGTCTTTCAAAGTGGCTGTACTATTTTGCATTCCCACTAGCAATTAATGAAAGTTCCTATTGCTCCACACCCCTACTAGCATTTGGTGTTGTCAGTGTTCAGTGGAACAGAATAAAAAATCCCGCTATAGACTCAAGTGCACATGAAAATCTAATGTATGATAATTGTGTTTCCCCCAGGATATTTTGAAAAATTTAATAATAAGCAATAAATTATTCACTGGCCTTAGTATATAGAGTCCCCCTAAATCATTAAAAAATAACAGTTTCATATAAAAAGTTCTGACTTTCTACTGTCGTACAATTCATGTATTTTCCTCCCATGTCTGGAAATTCTGGCTCAGTTGTTCATGGGGTTGCTGTAAGGATTAAATGATTTAATAAAGGCTAAGGCGCTTAGTATAGTGCCTGACACATAATACATGCTCAATTGATGTTAACTATTATTAGCTCTTATGATGATGGAGATAGCTGCAAACTTCTTTTTGTCAGCCACAATACCCATCACAGGACTGAGCATGGAGTATAGTATTTATGTAGATAATCAGTGAGTGACTGGTCTCCAACATTTTGGATTTCTTCCACACAGCTTATTTTATGTCTTTAAAAAGAATGATCTGAGTATTAATTTTTTAAAAGAACCCCGGCTGTTGTTGAATCAGCTCAACCAACTTGACTTAATTTTGTTTAATTTTCTTAATTTCTGCTTTTTCTCTTAATTTTCCAGCTTTCTTGTTTTCCAATAATGCATTTAAGGAGATATATTGTCTTGAGAGTATTGATTTGACTGTACCCCACAAGTTAAGATATGTGGTATATGCTTTCTTTTTTATTTTTTTGCTTTTTAATTTCGGCTATTTTTTTTAATTATTTTTTTTAGGTGAGGCAACCCTTGGTTGACCTCACAGATTGCAAGGACCTTGTCAGCTTACAATCCCTTTTTGTTTTTAAATGCCTACAGCACCTGGTCTTCCTGGTGGTCTTCCATCCCAGTACTAACCAGGCCCCACCCTGCTTAGCTTCCGAGATCAGACAGAATCAGTCTTGTTCAGGGTGGCATAGCTGTAAACTAACTTCAGCTTTTTAGTTGAATTGCTTACTGAGGGTCTGAAGAAAGTCTTTGCTGGTTAAATGAGAAGCTGAACTCTTTTAGCTCCAAAAGAAAAAGGACACTTGCTTCCCTAACCATCGTCAATGGGACAATGATAGTTGTTGCAGGTCCCTATGTGGTGTCTTCATAGTGACCCTAACAAAAATTAAAGCAATGATGCTTACAAGGCGCTTAGCACAGTTATTGATCGATATTGGTTAGCTGCTTTACCCTTATCTTGTATAAGCACTCGCGAGACTCCAGGTAAGCCCTTGCTTAGCCACGCCACTTCACCGCGCTTTTCTCCACTTGTATTTTGTGCTTCTAACTCCTTCTTGCCCTCTAGGGGGCGGGGCCTGATCGTCTCGCCCCCCGACCCCACCCCCTCCAGGTTTCCATGACAGCACGAAGTTTCAACAACACATTCTGTAATCCTGTCTCCTTCCGCCTGAGACTACGATGGGAAAAATAGTCCCTTGGCAACGGAGTTCTTCTCACTAGAAGGCGGAATTAGGGCGGAGCTTAAAGGCGGAAGGAACAGGAAGTTCGTGAGCTCTGTGGCGGGATTGGGCCCCACCGTGTCAGGGGGCGGGCTCGAGTGGGCGGAGGGATCCATTTTAAGCGCCGGGCGGCCCGCTGCCTCCATTTAAGACGAGGAGAGTGGCCTGGGTGGCAGTTGCTGTGGTTTCTGTCCTGGGTTGCTTAGGTCTTCTGCAAACTGAAACTCGCGGACGCAGTGTCCCGCGTCCAAATCCGGAAGTCAGCAGCGCAGCATCCCTTGTTTGATCCAAGGCCGGCCCCTTGTTCTACCTTCGCCACTAGGTGCCCGTATCTCGGTTGCTCCCGCGCGGCCAAGGGTAAGGCCGCCTGCGAGATGTTCAAAAACACCTTCCAAAGCGGCTTCCTCTCCATCCTCTATAGCATCGGCAGCAAGCCCCTGCAGATCTGGGACAAAAAGGTAAGGGGCTGGGGCCGGCGGTGGAGCGGGGTGCAGGGGCCGCGCCCCGTCTTTGCTCGGGGTCTGGGGACCGGTAATTGTGTCGAGTTGGGGCCAGGCAGTTGTTGCCGTGCCCCGTCCCCTGCCTGGTGTGACTGATTTTCGTGTAAGCACCGCTGCGAGGGGTACATGTGGGTGGGCGTGGCTGGGGTTTAAGTGTCCAGGGGCCGTGGTGCGGTTAGATCAGTGTGGTCCGTCGCCGCAGTCAATTCCTCAGAGCTTGGTTTCCCCATTTATATAATGGGATTGATAGTGCCTGTCTCATAGCATGAAATTCTCATAGCATGAAACTTACTTGAGATTGTTTTGGGAATGTATAGATGAAAGGAACTGCTGTTCATTGATTCCACAAATATTTACTGATGTCCTATTTTGTGCCAGGCACTGTAGTGGGCACTAGACACAGAGCTTTTGTTCCAAGCATCCTTAACCAGCCAGAACCAGTTATGTTTGGGTTTCATTTGTTTGCCTCCTTCCTTTTATTATTTCTGAACGAGTCAAAATTTGGTGGCCTTTGGCACCTGCTCCACACACCCTGTGACTTGGGGTCTGTCCTATGCCTTCAGTGTATGATTTCTCCATCAGGGAAATTGCCAAATGGTGATAAAAGTCTTGACTGGATTAATGAGCTCACAGCGGAGTACAGGCCTCATTATCTTTCTTCAGGCATCCACAGGATGATACTTTCACTGACCCCAGGAGATTGACCTTGTCCACTTTTGAGAGATGTTGAGTACAGGACATGTGTGTCTAGCACTCTATGAGTTGATCTGCACTTTATTACATTGATATTTCATTTTATTTCCTTTCAATTCGTTTGTTTGTTTATTTATTTTTATGGTGACATTGGTTAGTGAAATCTTGTAAGTTTCAGCTGTACACTTTAACAATAAAGCATATACATATTTACACTGTGTGTGTTCCCCTCCCATAGTTAGATTTCTTTCTGTCACCACATATTTGACCCCATTTACCCTGTCGATATTTCTTATGCAAATTCCCAGTCAACTGTACCCTTTTTTGATTATAAATTAGAGTAGGCACTCTGCTGTGGAAGACTAGTAATCTAGGGTATAATGGTACTGCTCTCCTGGAGGAGAATGAAGAGGGACTGTATGTTGAATGATGTTTTTATAGAGATGAATGTGGAATAATCTAAATGGGCATTTTATTAGTAATGAAGCCAAGAATTTTGGATTGCTTCTCAGAACAACTTTCTGTCTTCCCTTATCCACAGATGAGAGTTTGAGGCCTTATAGAGATTGGAAAAGAACATGGCAGCCTGCTGTCTGTCACCACTAGGGAGTTCTGCATTCTGAAAGCAGCTTTGAGGGTGATATATTCATAATGTTATTTTTATAAAAGAGTTGAAAGATCCGAGTACAATGAGTTTGGGCCTTACGCATATATGAAAAATCTGACGAACTCTCTTTCACAATGATTCTATCCACAAGCTGATGCCAAGTCTTACATAGGAAAGCAGTTCCCTTAACTTTTCCCCTATATCACTGAGGTTTTCAGTTTTATTCACATTGAAATAAAACATTCTAAGCTCTGAAACTGCACCTCTACAAAGAGAACCTCGAGTGAGTGTATCAGGAAACTCGGTGAGAACTTTGTAAGTCTTCCCAGCTATAGCTTAGTTATGGGCTGTCAGAAGTCATGGAAAAAGTGGCCTTGCTTGCCAGTTGAACCTGGAATTATAACAGTGTCAGTATAAGGCAACTGAAATCGAGAATGGGACTTGATCTAGGGAGAGGCTTTCAGAGCAAGTCAGGGAATTTACTAACACAGAGTTCAGTGCTAGGGGAGGCCTCAGCATTTCTATTAGGTGGAACTTTGATGATAAGAGTTGCCCATTTTAGCCCTTCTGGGCTTGATCTTCTGTAGTGTTTTTATTTTTCAAATGCAGTTTTTTGACTAGTCAGCATGTTTACACACAGAATATAAAAGCAAAGTAACCATGGTGCACCGTGTCCCTTAGCAACGCCACTAGAGGTCGGATGGTACCCTAATGACATAAACAGGTGTGAAAACATTGTTCGATTGACTGTCAGGGTTACATGAAGTAAATTAAACAGACGTTTCGGCAAAGAAAACCTTTAGAAGAACACTCATTTTAAGCAAAATTCTTATAATAGTAAAAGTTAATTATACGTTTCCTCTCTTTTTATTTAAACTAAATTGAAAAAGGTTTAGCTGTGGATTTTTCCCCTGGAGCAAGGGCAGGAAAGAGAGGAAAAGGGAAAGTTTGGGGCCAGATGCATAGGCTTCGATGTATGTGTCCCTTTTCTCAGCTACCTTATGAAGTCCTCAGAAAGTGTCGGGAATTCATTCCGGTCGGGGAAACACTAGGAATTGATATACTTATCAAAGATTTATTGAGCAACAGCTAGGTGACAAGCGCTGTGTAGATTTGGGGAGATACCAAGTTAAAGAAGATATTTTCTCTGCTCCTGAGAATAAGGCAAAATTGTCATAAGGGAAGAGCTTGATGGACAGAGGGAAGGACTGTCCACGTTTATCTAGAAATGACACAGTCAGTAGGTACATATTGGCTATAGTGCCTGTTTTTAGTTATTATTTTGATTTCACAAAACGTTATTATTCTCCTTCCTGAGTTTATGGAGAGAGAATTTCTGTACTTTGTTTTCTGTGAAAATAATCTTGGAAAAATTAGGTTTGGTTTCTCTTTAGGCTCTGTGTCTCCTTATGGATACGAGGAGTGGATGTCATACCAGTGAATTTGCAAACTCCATATTTGTGAGTGTAGTTACATTTGTAACACCTGTGTTTATCAGACACTCTGAGGTCACAGCCCCTCTCCCTGTCTCATGCTTCAAATCTCACCTTAAACCTTATTTCACTGGGAGCTTAAGTGAACTATCTCCCACTAGACTACAGGTTCCTTAAGAGGAAGAATAGTATCTTTCCTCGAAACCCCAGTGCTGGAGCATGATCGGCTTTGTGTCCTGGCTCTGTCCTATGTCCTCTGCTGTGTAACCTTGAGCAAGTACTTAACTACTCAGTTTTCTCCTCTTGTAGTAATGCCACCTCCTTCTCATGGTTATGGAGATGAAATGAAGATGTATATAAGATGCTTCGCAATAGAGTTTTAGCACATAGTATTAAATCAGGCGGGGAACTGAGGAATTTGCCCAAGAGTAAAATAGTTTATAATTGAGCCCAGTATTCAGATGCCTAGGAATAAGAAGTACAGTGAAACCGGAATTCTGAAATTAGAATCATTTCGTCGTTATACCATGGCTTTCCTAGTCCAAAATCCTTAACATGGTCTGTGCCTACTTAATTAGTTTCCCAGGCTCACCCCCGCCAGGTGCCTGGCTTAGCAGTGACCTCCTGCTGACCTGAGAGACTTCCTGTTCTCTCTCACCTTCAGGCTTTTGTACTTGCTGGTCCCTCTGCGGGGTTCACTCCTCCTCTTCATCAGTCTCTAGGTCACAGCTAAAGGCACTTCCTCAGGTTAATTTATATCCACTTATAGAACCTCTGCTATTTATCATACTCATCACTCTTGAAATTAGCTTCTTAAGATGTGTATTCCTGGCTAGACTGTAAGCTTCCCAATAGAGATCTTGTAATTTTTCAAACCAAGAGCTCAGGAGAACTTAGGGGTTTCTTAATGTTTCCTTAACTTCTGGGCCCAGCAAGTATTACATTTATTACAAGACTCATATGTAACGTAAACATTATTTCTGGTTTGAAAAGAAGATACCAGTAGGTTCTATTCCTACTTAAGCCTGTGTCAAACATTTTCAGTCTTTACTGGTAACAACCTAAAAGGCTATAGCTAAGCATGTTAATTCATTCATGCTTCTGTCTTTCTTTCCTCTCGCCTCGTCTTTCTCTTAGCTGCTCCTGATCCCCTGTTCCCAAACTAAATAATAGAATCTTTGTGGTTGTTGCTGCATAGTATTAGATTCCCATTCCCTGTTCCTAATTTAAAAAAACGAACAAAGTCTCTCGAAAAAAGTTCCCACGCCCTAGCTTCTAATTAGGAAACTTGGTTGGTCCATGTTAAACTGATGTAATTTCCAGTAGCAGTGGGAGCATTTGGATATGAAGGTAGTAAACTTTTTTCAGACTCTCCCTGGGTCCGTCTGACAATGTTCCTCATTATTCTGAGTAACAGCTTTCACTATAATTGGGTCAAGGCCTGGGTTTTACTTATACTTTCCCTTTCAAGGCACTGTTAGGAAGAGACTGGTTACCAATGCACATAATTGCCCTTACTTTAACTAAGGGTGGATATGCCCAGAGCTGCCTGTCTGCTGTCTGGATAGTTTCTGTTAAGTGCAGCAAAGGATAAAAAGCCTTTGACCTATTGGAGCCAGCAAGGCCAAGGCCTTGAGTCAGAGCTATGCCCAGTTCTCCCCACAGAGGTCTCCCTCTGCCTGTTTTCTGACTTACAGCCCAGCCCCTACTTCAGAGCAGAAATGTTCCTGATGAAATGGACAGCTCTAATGGCTTAATGTAAATTGGAACATGTGTCATTAAGACTAGGATGCCAGATGGCTGAGGGTTCAGCTGTCTGCCAGGATAAGTGGGTGGAGCCAGAAAAAAATGAAAGGTGGGGGGTAGGGAATGAATACAACTCATGTGTTATTTTTAAAACACTTGTAGAAATATAGAGCATTGGCCAGCTTCCTTCCTATCCCAGTAGTATTTTTTTTCCCCTCAGCTTGACCCTCCTCCCTGGGGCTTACATTGAAAAAAAGAAAATCAGTGTTCTTTATTAGTTGCCCCAGCAACCTTGGAAAGCCTGGGAGAGTGGTTGCAAGAGGGCTCGATGGTTCCCTTCTCAGTGGCTGCTGAGCCTGAGAACCATTCTGATTTGTAATTGTCAGTAGCCTGGGTTCTGAAGCTTCTAAAGTACCCCCAGCTCATGCCTTGGTGTGGCAGGGGAGGGGGAGTTCATGAAATGTTTAAAATGTGAGATTGGCTTTATTTATTTAGTTTTGGAGGAATAAAACGCTTGCAGGCCACACTTTGGTAGTTGGACTGTGTCACGAAATACAAATAAAAGAATAAGTCAAAAACAACTTTCTAATTTAGAGAGGGAAGTAAAATTAAAGCTGCGTCCATCCTGAGCAATAAATGCTGACCAGTTCATTTTATCTTCATTTCAAAGCCAGGCCTGTTTAGTGCCCTCTGAACTGGAAGGAGCCGAGGAAAGGAAGTTGATGCTTTCTGAGGCCGTATATCTTGTTATATGTGTTTGGCAGAAGCTGGACTGAGGAGGGGGTTGCTTGCTGGAAGACCTTTACAGTTTAAAGCAATGATCGCCATATTATGTTGCCGGGTTAGTTAGGAAGACTTGCCTCAAATCGTCCATCCTCGTTTCCCCTTGCATCCTAGCTTTAGAGCCTAGAGAACGGGTTTTGGGAAGTTTTCCACTCTTTAAGTGCTCATATCTCTGATTAATTGCAGCCCCCCAACCCCACCTCACTCTTGTCTTCCAGTGAGTTTGTATTTGCAGCCCTTTGAACTGTATAAAGGAGAAAAATCATAATTCACCAACAAATCAACTTAATTTGATTTCAAAGCTCAGGCAGCTTGTAATAGGAAAATACTCGTGTTTTTCTTCTTTGAGGACTGAACGTTCTCCTTGGGCAAAGCTGTCCTTCGCTTGTCTCGCCACCAGCCAGGTTAAAACTTTAGAGGGAGTGATGAGAATTCCTTTGAAAAAACTGCCTTGTTTCCTCTGAGTTCTCTTGTTTTGGGGCTACATTAATTAATTTTGTAAGAATTAAGTTTGTGAGTATGGTTGTTGAGATGTGGTCGAAAGACATTTCTCTTCAGGAAGTTATTGAAAGTCCAACTAAAAGCTCGTCTCTGAATCAGAAGTATCAGGCACTCAGTCCATCTTGGCTTCCGGTCTGTTGGCGTCCACACGCAGGATAAGGCATTGTTTTCTTCTGGAAAGACCTGAATAGTCAGATTTGCTAGAATGAAGTCATCTGCTATAAACTTTGAGACGGGCAGAAGGCGAGTTTCCTAACATTCACTCCCTTTGAGATCTGGCTAGGCTTTCTGGAGCTGAGGGCGCTTCTTGCTGACTCTGGCTGAGAGACCTTGGGGATGTAAGATTTGAGGCGATACTTTCAAACAATGTTGGATAAATTGCAACGTGTTGCCTTTTAGCAGGAGTAACCTTTGGGCACTAATTATTTCATCCTTTCAATTTAACCATCTGTTTGAGTACTATGTACCTTTTTAAGAAAAAAATGAAGTTATATTACAGAGAATAATTAGTGGAATGTTATAAAATTTGTGTTTGCTCTTATCGATGTGACTACGTCGCATTATTTGGGGATAACTTCTTGATTCATTCCTCCTTCACCACTTCGGCTGGGGGTAAGGTGGGCAGTGTCGGCGTGTGTTAGTTACCCAGACCCTGAGCCTTCGAGCTCTTAATCTCCCTTGGAAAGAGGCCTAGAATCCAAAGAAGGGAGGCATCGGATGTCGCTGGCTTTGTTTGAGAAGCACTTCAATGTGACATTTGTGTCTTGAGAACCCAAGAAATGCTATATCGGCAGCACTCTGGGGCCCGTTCACCCAGCATTCTGCCCCTGGCAGTGGGCACCACAGGATGACTTGCGGCACATCAGTCTTCCTGCCGGCAGCCTCATGGGCTTTGTGATACACCCCAGGACCTCTGGCTTCCTCTAATAGTCCAGGGTGGATATTTTATGCAGGAGTTTTTTAAAAATCTTCCTTGAAACTATTCATATGTGCCAACTCTTCGGGTGACAAATTCCAGAAGTCAGCAAATATTTGAATGCCTACTTTAGGCCTAGCATGGTACTAAGCATTATAGAAGATACAAACAATGCTTAATACTTGACCCCTACCCTTGAGCATATACTTTTCTGAGAAGACAAGACAGTTGCATTTTGTAGAAAAAGATGGGCAGTGATATCAGATGTCACCTGAGGAGCACCAGGCATACCACGAGTGGATCAGATTGACAGTAACAGCTCAGAGACTGATATCTAAGACAGAATGACATATTATTAATAATCTGTGTTGAAAAATACAACCATTAGACAGACTCAACACTGTTCTCACCCTATGCAAATTTAAGAAAAAGCCAAATGATTAATTGATTATGACAGCCCAACACAGCTATTTTCACTATGCCTAGAAAAAGACCATATTTGTTTTTGACGAATCCTGTTCTCAACCTGGTTGATCTTTTCCTTGTGTTAATACATTGAGCCCTAACAGTCCAGCCCTGTCTCAGAAGCATCTTTGCACATGCCCTGTCCATGTTAGGTGCTTAAGAGTTTATTGTTTGAAGATAGTTCTTCCTAATATTTTGAGAGGAGGAAGCTGCATCAAATATTGATTCCTTCTCACTGTGTACCTCTTACATATGCAGGAAACAGTACAAAACAATGTTGGTTGAAGTGCAGAATTATGTCATCTGGGCCACATGAACCAGAAAAACAAATTGGAGAGAAGGGAGGTTGATGTGGGCTGAACATGCTAAAAAAGGCTTCTGCGCGTGGCACAGATGGGACGAGTTCACGCCTGAAAAAGTAGAAATGGAAAAGACGATGAGGAAGCACGAAGGAGTAAACCTAGGGGAACAATGCTTTTAGTTTTTGGTTGCCTCCTCAGCGTCACTTAGTATTTGTCCTTCTGGCTGAAGCCGTACATGAGGCAGTGTGCGGGGCAGTGGAAAGCCTGGTTGTTAATCCTGCCTCTCTTACTTGGGAGCTGTCACTTTCACTCCCTGAGTCTCAGTGTGCACATCTGTAAAGTGGAAACAGTACCACCTGCCTCGTAGTTGTTGTTGGTGGCAGCGATAGAATTCGGTGAGAGAACGTACGTGAATGTTCTAGCGTAGTAGGAACTCAGTGAATGTTAGCTGAATCTGAACTGGGTTGATTTCTTTGGGAAGAAATTTATCCTGATTTACAGATTGCCAGGTTGCCTGCGATTCCTGTGGTGGTGGATGGGACCCTGTAAGCGATAACAGCATGGTTTACTTACATAAAAGCTTCGACATAACATGTCACAAACTGCAGTGTTATTGCCTTGGGCCACCGTGGTTTTCTTTAAATGGTCCCATTCAGCCTTCACAATCTTAACAAAGTTGTTGCCAAATATTTCAGTGCTAACTCCTTTGAAACTAGTTTAATTTTCTTCCATATAGGTGCGGAATGGCCACATCAAAAGAATCACTGATAACGACATCCAGTCCCTAGTGCTAGAGATTGAAGGAACAAATGTCAGGTAGGTCTCCACTCTGTTCTCCCAGAGACATTGTACTCCAGAGGGCAGTACACCAGAGAGATGAATGGCACAGACTGCCCAGTGTGAATTCAGCTGCTGCTTAGAGCTTACCTTGGACAGTTTACTTAATCTCCTCGGCCTTAGTTTCCTCATCTGTAAAATGGGGATAATAACAGTACATCTTCCTTATAGAGTTATTGTGAAGATTGGATAAGCGAATGCGTATAAAACACTTAGAATCTGCTAAACACATAGTAAGCTAAACGCTACGTAAGAATTAGCTATTACTAATATCTAACCAAGGGGTGTATGTGTGTGTGTGTGGCAGAACGGGGTGCGGTGTGTCGCAGCCATCACCCAGTGGGTGGCCACTGTGGTTTTCAGTGCCACAGTGGTCTTAGTTTTGGTTTTCTATCATTCGTTGGTTCTCTTGGACCAGAATTGGATCTTCTCTCACTGGAAGAATTTGCTCAGATCCTTTGGTCTGGCTTTGCTTTTCATCTGTTTTATTGTTGATGTCTAGTTCGTGTTAAGCTTCTGTTTCAGAGTCCAGCATTTTTTAAAGCATTGGCTGACTTACGGGTTGAGAGATTTATTGGTCGACGTATCTGGATCTTTTAGATCTGCCTTCCAGTTTGTCCTCTTGGACCACGTGTTATGGCCGTGCGTGCCGCACAGGAGTTAAGTAGTGTGTTTATTGGCATTTCCTCTTTCTATAGCACCACGTATATCACATGTCCTGCAGACCCAAAGAAGACACTGGGAATTAAACTTCCTTTCCTTGTCATGATTATCAAAAACCTGAAGAAATATTTTACCTTTGAAGTACAGGTATGTATGTGCATATGCCTGCGTACACTCTTGGCGTACCGGAGAGGTGTCTTAACTTGTAGGGGAAAGGTGTCCCCAGGAAAGTATCTTTATCTTTTCGTATGTCTTCTTTTCTGCTTTTGCTATACGCTTGATTTGGCCCTTATTATTATAACATAAATTTGGTATTAGTAATCAGAATCCAATGCCAGGTTTTAAAGAAACACAGTAAGCATCTAGAAAATCTAATCCATAGCTAGAAGATTTCAAAGCTTAAGGGTTAGAGTCGTGTCCATTTGGAGAGTAAATCATTTAATATTGGGTTACTGATGGTCTCTATTCTAGTATTTTATTTTTCAAAGGGAAGAATGTTTATGATATCATCCTATGGTCTGAGAGCATGATGGGTGTGTCATATGTCATAAGCAGCTGGTGTTGTCTTGACAACAAATAAGATAAACTTGCTACTTCCAGGCCATCTGCATCTAATGTGACCTATGTCTGGTCTGTTTATTCTCCCTTGGGTCTCAGCCTTGGGAAACTGGGCTGTGGGAGTACAGGTCCTTGCCGTAGCAAGATTGTTTGCTGCTTCCAGGATAGAGTGAATGTGACTCTTGTCTATATTTGAAAGGTACTAGATGACAAAAATGTGCGTCGGCGGTTCCGGGCCAGTAACTACCAGAGCACCACCCGGGTCAAGCCCTTCATCTGCACCATGCCCATGCGACTGGACGACGGCTGGAACCAGATTCAGTTCAACCTGTCAGACTTCACTCGGCGGGCGTATGGCACAAATTACATTGAGACGCTAAGAGTGCAGGTTCGGGGTCCTTTTCCAGATGGAGCCCCAAATGGGAGAGGGGGGCGTGGGCCGTTACTGGCTTGTGTCCCATGTGACAGAACAGTGTGGGTTTCTGGCTCAAATTCCCAAGTTACTGTTTGGTGGGCTTGGACCTCAAAGGGATCCAGGACTTATTCAGGATTTTGCTTATATCCAGTGGGAGAAAACGATAAGCAAAATCTCCCTCTTGTCACAGTCGACCCCCTAGGCCAAGCCCAGGAGTTGCAAAATGGATGCAGCTTTGACACACCATGGGGGTGGGGGCGCTCTAGGAGAATCGGCAGGTGAGGAAGGACAGTCACGTTTAGTCTCTCAAAACAAGTCTCTGCATCCACACAGATCCACGCGAACTGTCGCATTCGACGGGTTTACTTCTCAGACAGACTCTACTCAGAAGACGAACTGCCAGCAGAGTTCAAACTCTATCTCCCAGTTCAGAACAAGGCGAAGGTACGCTGGCCTTCCTCCGAGGACCGGGCAGTGAGTCGGGGAAGCAGGGGCCTGGAAATTGCTCTGTTCTAAGAGCTGAGCTGCAGGGCCTCTGGACAAGGAGAGCGGAGAGCCTTTCCCTCTCCATCGTAGACCCCAAGCCTTCCCCACCCGCAGCGCTGAGCCAAGATCTGTCAAGTGCCCGTTACTGCTCCCTCCACCTCCACAAGATGACCCTGCCCCGTCTGAGGGGCGGGCGCCTGTTCCCACCTGCTCACAGGCCTTCCACTGGAGCCCCTGTCTCAGCCCCACGTGGCTTTCAGCCGATGGGTCTCCCCTGACCCAGTGGTGGGTGCTTCACGCCTGCCTCTTGCTGACATGTCTGCATTTCCCCCCAGCCCAGCATCCCCTCCAGTGTCACGGTGTCAGCGGCACTGATCATCTGTTTTCTAATGATTTAAACCAATGCTGCTTTCCTGTTTTGTTTTTTTTTTTTCTCTCCAGCAATAACTGGAATGCAGCTCAAGGGGTAGACCCTGAAAACTATCTGGAGGACAGTGCAAAAAACAAATACTTGTATTAGTTCACTGTGCTGTGTTCTTTTGTCTACTACTTGGTGTCCCTTGTCGCAGACACCAGTGACCATGCCGTAAAGCCACAATCGCATCGTAAGTACAGTGGGGGATAAGCCGTCTTTTGATACCTGACTGCTGGAGTTCATCCTGCTGCCTGCCCCAGAGTGTGGGGAGATCCATTTACCACGAACTTAGAGAATTAAAGATGTCCCATAAGGCAATATTTCTTTCTACGGTTTGTTCCTTGTTTTATATATTATCTAAATATATGTATATGCTGTGTAATACTCATCTGGAAATGAATAAAACGTTATATTCTTGGTTTGTACATTCGTTCTTAGTTTGTATCTTTTTTAATGGTGACATTTCTCTTTCCTTTGCGGTATGAAAATAGAATTCTTTCCAAAGACACCGTGTACAGTCATGCTGTGGAATAGCCTGCAGTGAGCACTTAAAGAATAAGGCAGATCTATAGATACTGATTTGGAACAACTTCCAAGATAAACCAAATGGAAAAGAACATGAATAGTGTATGACTAATAGAGACATCTTCCTAGGAGTTGGGTCCAAAGTCAAGCTCAATACAAAATGGCATATAGTTCAGAGGCCATTAAACACCTTCCGAAGGTGTCATATTGTAACAGTGAGCACAGCGAGTGTCCCTCAGCACTGGGACAGGTCACCAGTACCCTATTTGAGCTCCAGATAAAGTGCTGGCCTTGCATTTAGGAGCTTATAGGAAAAATGTTTTTTTAAACACCAGAATGAATGACATGAGAGAGCTTGCCCCACTCACACTCGAGGGCGTATGCTCAGTGGAAGGGCCTGGCACAAATCGTTACATTTACAAAAGCTAAACACTTAAGATACAGCTAAGGAGCACGTGTAGGTACACGGAGATGATCCTGAAGGATACACCAGAACCAGAACACTGCTTTCATCTGGAGAGAATGGTTATTGTATCATATAAGCACTTTTTTGTATAAAAAGTATTTTTGGAAAGGATATGTAATAAAAATTTCAAAAGTCTAAAACAACAAAAGGCCATCATAGATCCGCATCCTCCCCAAGCACTCCCCCTGGATTTGGGTCCTTTCAACAGGGATGAGGCTGGAGCTGTCGACACCCGCCATTTTGACCTTGTTAGAAGTAAAAGCATGTAGCGCCGAATCCTTCGAATCCTTCGAATCCGTGCAGTTAAATGGCGAGAAGCCCTCTCTTCCCAGGTCCTTCTCTGCCACCTGCTGTGGGTAATAAGCCTGACCAAATCTCCGAGGAGGGTGGGGGCTGCAGGAGGTGGAGGGGTGGGGGGAAAGGTGTTCCACTGCTACCTTCTGTGACTGTTTATTTCTCACAGTTGTCAAGTGTCTGGCACTCGAGGGCTCAGCCAAGACGTTACTGCTGATGATCCGACCGGAGCTACCTTTCCCATGGAGTTACCTCTCACCTCTGAGAGTCATCAGTCGTTCCGCGTCACAGAACAGCCATCAGCCCAGGTGACAGCCCGAATATCGTCCTGCTTCTCCATCCTTCACGTTAGCATTCCTGTCGTCAGACCCCATGTGCCTGTCTCCCGAGCTCTCTAGGTTACAGTGGGAATCCTCAGAAGTGAGTGGGGGTGGAGCGGTCAGGGCCTTCAACAGAGCTTCCTGTCTCTGGCCACTGTATAGTGAAATCTTCCCTCCAATCTGGAGTCTATTATGGGATGAAAGATGCTTTTGTGGAGGCCAGAAAACCCGGTTAACTTTTCATCTCTCTTTGGTGCCAGGACACCAGTGAAGTGCTCCTGAAAAATACAGTTCCTCACTCTCCTCCACACAGAGCCCCCTTCACCCCAAGGCACTTGTCAGACTATGTATGGGGATTACCTCACCACCCTCTTTGGGGTGGAAGGCAGCAGCTGTTGACTTCCCAGATGCTTCACATATCCATCTGAGAGGAAGTGAGGGGGCGTGAGGGTGATGGGATGTATTATCTAAGCTGGCCCCGGGCCACTGTGAATTGTGGCACCAAGGACTGCTCGGCCCCTTGCCCTCTGCCCCTTCCAGCTCTAGTTGCGAGGTCGAGGGAAGGAGAAAGGACGGGCTTCAGGGGTGACAAGCCTCCTGCATGGAACTGGGGCCTGAGGGACCTCCGACTGGAAACGAGCAAGCTCGCAGTAGTCAGCTCCTTGGAAGGCATGGTGTGTTTTAGAAGGAATTGCCTTCCAAATGGGACTGTTTGTTAATTGGCATGAACTTGAGAGGATGGTGTGCAATCATACCCAACAGGGCTTGTCTCGGGGGAGAGCAGATTCACTATAGCCCTTATTTGCCACTGGTCCCTTGGCTGCTGCCCCTGCAGCCAGGCCAACAAGACCCACTGTGCCAGACCAGCCCCCTCCTGGGGCATTTCTCAAGGAGACACATATACCAGGCAACAGCCCCCAAGCTGATTTCCCTAGCACCTCAGCTGCTTTACCCAGAAGCCTCAAGTGTTATGGAATTCACTGAAAAAGATCTTGGAGCTCTTGTCTGAGTCCCCTCTACCCCCATTTTACTGAAGAAGACACTATAGCCCAGAGAGACATAGCTAGCCCCTCTAATAGTGGCAGGGGCGGAACAAGGACTCGGGTCACCTGATGGGAGTCATATGCCAACTTTGTCCTCCTTTGTGTTGGCACCCCCTGCCGCCTGTGTGGCTGGCTCTGCCCTTTTGGTAAAGGGCATTGACAGGTCAGATAATGTCCACCTGGGTGGCTGGGCCAGGCCAGCCTTGGCTGCTCAAAGACTAGACTCAGCTCTGCCTTGGCAGTGAGGGCTTGCCTGGTTCATTACTCTGTAGTCATACATCAGGTGAACTCCAGGGCCTGAGGCTGAGGGTAAGAAGCTGTGGGCCGAAGGTTTGTGTTTAACTAATGGACCACAAAAGCAACACATGCTCATGGGAAATTCAAACTGTACAAAGACTGTGAGGTAGGGCAGAAGTCCCAGTTTCCATTCCTGCCCTGAAGCTGAATGGGCCAGGCAAAGCTGTACCTACTTTACAGGTGTTTGTTGTACTGAATCATCACAACACTGAAACGGGACCTGCTACTGTGATTTCACAGATACCGTTTTACAGGTGCAAAAACTAGGCACAGAGATCAACGTGCCTGAGCTCACACAGCGATACCCCTGGTGGTGGTGGCAGGTCTCAGACTCGAGCCGTTGAACCCCTGCGCTGGGCTCTTCAATCACTCGACTTTTGTGACCTGTTATTTGCTCATCAACAGAATTAGCCTGATGGTAAAACACGTGAAACGTGCCTCAGAGCTGGGCTGGAAGAGGATGTCTGTGAACGATAGATCGGTTGTGTTATTGTCACACAATGGAATATTACACAGTGATCAAAAGGGACACATTACAGCTAGACGCAACAGCAGAGGGAACCACACAACCACAACGCAGAGTAAAAACAGCAAGGCACAATATATAATTGCATAGAAATGGAATTCCATTTCTATACAATTTTTAAATAGGCAAGAAAGACTCGTTCTAGGATGCATTTATAAGTGACAATCTATATGGCAGGCACAGGACTGAGTATCTCAAAGCTCAGAGTGCTTTAGCTGGAGTTGGGGCTGGGGGAATTACATACACAGTTGAATATATTCTTTTGATTATATTTCTCAATTTAAAAAACCGTCGAATTTAGGTCCTGGTCTATTAAAATGCGGGCTCTTGGGGCCGAGCTCATTAAAATGCAGATTCTCTTTCAGGAGATCTAAATCTGGCCCAGAAATCTGCATGTTAACACCTTCCTCTGGGGATTTTTGGTGTTTCTGTCACTTGAGAAGCTGCTCCAAGTTGGAGCGAGCAAGAGTTAATGTGATACTTCTTGAGTAGAGGCAGGCCAGATGCTGGGAGGGAAGAAAGCATAAAGCAACCTTGCCCCAGGCACAACTGCAGATAACAACCTCCCCCTGCCCCCTAAAACACCTTATGTTGCCTTTATACAAAATTCTAGCATGTAACTTTTATCTCTCTACCTTTTCCACAACCTGGAAGTGTGGAGTCCTGCAGCGCAAACCGTGAGTGCCTCTGGGCTGCAATAGAGCCCCTCCAAATTGTAAATCCAAAAGGCATCGAACATCTGGATGAAGCATGAGCCTTGGAAAAATTGTGCCTCTTGGTATCCATGGTATCTGAATCAAAGCAGAAAAAAAAAAAAACACTGCAAGGGATGGGATATGGAAACACACTGGGCAGAACCCCTTATTAAAGGGGTGGAAAACATCACTGAGCCTCTGCTATGTTCCTGCATGAGGTGATCAATATTAATAATGGCCTTCATGAGTTCATCACTTGTGTTTCCCCCAGCTCTTTCCTCCATCGTGTCTCAAGTTGTGAATCTTCCTGGTGTTTGGGAGGGAATACAGTAAAATCAGTAAATACAGTAGAATTGGTCCACACATGACTAGCCTTTGGTTTCCAAGTCACCCTCCAAAGCCGTCTCCTGTCTTCTGAGATTGCCCTCATCTTCATTTGAACCCTAAAGCATCCTTCCAAGCCTGGGACCTCTTCTCGGTACTGGGAACTAACCTAAGCCAACATGTCAGATTCTGGGTGACTCTCAGGATCCTCCAGCTGTCAGAATAGGGGGAAGCTGTCCTCTCTCCCTCCAAGCTGGCTACCTGGGGCTGTGCTGCGAAAGCAGATCTCATCCCACAAGTACAAAATCGATAGTGAGTGTGCGAAAAAGACTCATGCCACCTGTTCCTAAAGCTTGGCGAAGTGTCTGTTCGCTCTCCACGGGGAAAGTGGGGATGTGTGGACAGTAGGATCGGACTGAGAAAGCCGGATCACATGGGGACCCAACGCTATGTGTGTGCAGGCGAGGGGTGGGACGAGCTGCAGGTCCTATGGGAGTTCCAGACCGAAATGTCCTGAAGGTTTTAGGTGGCTGGGTTTGCCAAATTCTCATGCCCCCTTTTTAATGGGGACAGAGGTACCTACACAATGTTTCTGGCCAACCCCATATTGAATTGGATTCGGAATCTCACCAATGAAAAGGTGTCTCTGATATCGCTGCACTAATTATAGGGCATGAGAGATTCGTTGCCAGAGGTGGTGCTTCTTTTGGTCAGTGTGCTGGCGGAGGGGTGGTGGAGGGGAGACGCTTTACACCCAAAGTTTCTTTCTGGCACCCTTGGAAGCAAACTCAAGGGAAATGAAAATCCTGGAGCTTCCTTAGCTGACCCAGGTGGACCACCTGCCCTCCCCTGTGGGGTTTGGCATTAGCTGTCCTACTGTACCCCCACTTGCCCCCGATGAAGCCGTCAAGGCCTGCAGGGTGCTTCAGGGCACCACTCATTCTCCGAAGGCTGAGTTCACCCCCTGTGAGGGACCCATGGCCATTTGGGGCCCCATGGTCCTCAGAGCCCCGAGCTTTCTTGCCTCACCTAAAGGCTGAGTTCACCCCCTGTGAGGGACCCATGGCCGCCCCCCTCCCCTCCCGTTTGGGGCCCCATGGTCCTCAGAGCCCTGAGCTTTCTTGCCTCACCTGTGAAATCGTATAAAAGGAAAACTTCTGTTTCTTCTTCTCTGCACACTATCAATATTTCTGACACCAGATGTGTGGGTTTTCCCACAGCTACCAACTCTCCAACACCAGTTGGGTATCCTACAATTCAATTCAGACACGATCTAGCTGGAGTTAATATCAGATGCCGCCAGTCAAGGGCTCACAAGACCGCCTCCTCCCACCTCAGACACCAGTTGCAAGTAGCAGGTCCCTGGATTACCTGCACTTCCTCTTGAGTTGGCTACAAATTGGGGATTCCCAGACACCCCCTTCTCAGGTTTGATAATTTGCTGTAATGGCTCACAGAACTCAGGGAAATGCATTTACCAGTTTGTTATATAATAGAAGATATGAAAAAGGACACAGGCGAACAGCCAGATGAAGAGAGAAGCAGGGTGAGGTCCGGAAGGGTCCTGAGCACAGGAGCTGCTGCCTCCGTGGAGTTGGAGCGTGTCACCATCTTGGCACGTGGATGCGTTCGCTGGCCTGGAAGCTCTCCCAGCCCTATACTGGAGGGATTTTTATGTGACAGCTTCATCGCACAGGCATGATCAATGATTAATTCCATCTCCAGCCCATTCCCCCTCTCCAGACAGTGAAGGGTGGGGCTGCAAATTCCAAGCTTCTCGTCATAGCTGGGTCTTTCTGGTGACCAGCCTCCATCCAGGAACCCCCTAAGAGGCACTGCATTAGAACAAAAGACACTCCTATCAGCCTGAAAATTCCAAAGGGTTTCAGAGCTCTGTCTTAGGAACTGAGGCCACAGACCGACCAACTATTAGAACAAAAGATGCTCCTGGCCACTTTATTGCTTAAAAATTACAAAGGTTTTAAGAGCTCTGGTCAGGAGCTGGGGACGAAGACCAAAGAATATATTTCTTCCTTAGGGCACAATCTCACACCGTAACGAGGAGTTCAAGGCTGTGCAAATCCTCTCGGAGAAGGGGACCAGGCTGCCATGTGAAGGTTCAAAGGCCTTTAAAAAACAAAGCAGATTTTAAATATGTGCTAATATGGTAACCACTAGCCAACTGTGGCTATTTAAGTTTTAATTAATTGAAATAAAATTTAAAATTCAGTCCTATCACACTAGCCACATTTCAAATGCTCTATAGCTACATGCAGCTAAGGGCTGCGGTATTGGGCAGTGCAGATATAAGAAATTTTGATTGGACAATGCTGTCTTAAGTGCTTGCATTAAACAAAATAAGACTTGAATTACCACACCCCCCCAAAAATGTTCAATGTTGTATAATCATGTCCTTAATCAATGGATGTAAGCAAGCTTCTCAAATGTTAACGCGCATGGGAATCACCTAGGGATTTTAAAATGTGAGTTCTAATTCAGCAGGTCTTGAGGGGAGGCCCTGGATTCTGCATTTCTCTTCTTTTTTACAGTGAAAAATTTTTATATGTAGGATTAGCCAGCTGGACTCAGTTTAGATGATCCCAATTTTGTTGGCAACATCCAAAGCATCATAGTCGAGAGCCAGCCGAACATATGCCTTCTTCTCTCCCTCAGGCCTGATCAGGGTGCTGACTTTGGCCATGTCAATGTCATAGAGCTGCTTCACGGCCTGTTTGATCTGGTGCTTATTGGCCTTGGCATCCACAATGAACACAAGTGTATTGTTGTCTTCTATCTTCTTCGTGGCTGACTCAGTAGTCAGGGGGAACTTGATGATAGCAGATGGTCAAGTTGTTTCTCCTGGGGGCGCCCTTCCGGATATTTGGGCTGCTTCGGAACCGCCGTGTCTTGGGCCGTCAGAAGGTGGGTGACGTGCATGTCTTCTTTTCTGTGGCTGTGGATGCTTTTCGACACCGCTTGCTTTGCCTTCAAAGCCTTTGCTTTGGCTTCGGCTTTAGGAGGGGCAGGGGCTTCCTTCTTCGCTTTCAGCCCTCTCCCAGCCCTCTCTGCCAGCCCTCTCCCGTGTTAGGGCCCCATGAGGCCAGAAGGCTCTAACTCCCTGAGGACCATGCCGGCCGCCTGCAATAGCTCTGCTCAGAATGGTGAACTGGATGTCTCATTCTCCCCCGTACTTGTCTTTTTTCAAATGTCAAAATAGAAAAGTACAAAGCACCCATATTCCCACCCCACCCCCCAAAATACAGTTGTTACAATTTTTCATATACCGCTTCCAGCGTTTCCATGTGTGTCGTTACGGCCTGTTAATTTGGTGGCCTCCAGTGAATCTTTCCTCCTAGTATTCACGCCTTGCGTAATTCCTTCCCTCTGGTATTTGGGCTGGCCTGCAGCTTGCTCTAACTACAGAGTGTGGCAGAGGTGATGCGGTGCCAGTACTGAGCTTAAGCCTTGAGGAGGCCTACGGTTTCTCCTTTTTAACCATTGGAAGCTCTTGGCTCTAGGCTACTCTGCTGGAGCGATCTTGTCGGGTGACTGCATGGAAAGACACATGGAGAAGGATCGGGAGGCCCCATCTGTATGGAGAAAGAGAAGCATGGCCTCAGCTCCCAGCTGAACACAGCTGCACAGGTGGCCACCAGCAGGATCAGCCTCAGAATGGCCCAGAGATCGCAGCCAAGATGGAAGAGTCGGGAGGAAATAAAATGATAGTAGTTTTAAGCCAGGGAGTTTTGGGGTGGTTCTTTAAGTTACAATAGATAACCACGATGTGAGTGACACAGGACACAAGTAATACCCAGCCCCTCCCTTTTGGTGCCTCCCCCCTCCCTGCACTGCCTCCTTGTCTCAGACCCCAAGTGCCCTTAGGCAGGGGGAGGAGAGGATAAATTAATGTACAGGAGAAAGCGGGTAGTATTTATTTCCTTACTAATGTATATCTCATCTCGGTTCCCAAAGCATATGAAGTGGTTTACCAAAAACACATTAATGAAAGATGTTCTTAAACGTGAAAAGGATGGTGGGGAAGGGAGAGGCTAAGGGTGGGAGAGCAGGAGTGGGGCCTGCCACACGAAGGTCTGTGTTGCCTTGCCAGCTCTCAGGTTTGCTTACGGAGGGTGAGTGGCCTGGAAATGTGGCCTTGACAGCCCTGGTGACCAACGCCTGAGGGGGAAGGCAATGGTAGATCAGGCTGCCTCAGGAAAGGGACCCACAGGGCCAAGGGGTGGTCTGCACAGGGGAGAGGAGCCGGCAGGTGGGAGGGGAAGCGAGACGGGCTGAGTGGCAGGGCAGAATGGCAGGTCAGGGCCAGATTCCAGCTTCCGGCACAGAGGGCCATCCAGAGAGGGAGCAGCAGCCCTGCAGGCAGCTACCTCCCTGTTCCTGGACTAACACACACCACGCCAGGCGCTCTGTGACAGGGACTCAGCTCAGAGTTCTCTCGGGGACCCCTCAGCTCCGTCGTGCCTCCCCTTATCCTTTGGCTTGAGCTTGGTCTGGGTGAGGGGTCCCTGCTCAGAATGAGGCCTGGCCAGTTAAGTTCAACTCCAGGGTCCGAGAGAGCGCCCCGTCTCCTCCAGCAGAGGGTGGCTCTGCCTGGGGCCTGTGCCTGGGAGAATATTGTCAGAGACGGTGTGTGGTCAGGTACAAGGTGTAATTGCCAGTCCCTGAGTTTTGTTGGAGGGGGTGGGAGGATGGTGGAAGGCTCTGTGGAGGAGGCCTTTGAGCGGCCTGGCGGTGTGGACACCCGGCCGTACAGGGAAGGGCGATGCAGGCGGAGGGAGCAGCAAGAGCAAAGGCCCAGAGGCGGGGAGTCCAGGCTCCCGCTATATTAAGAGCACGCGGTTCCTCTGCATCGACTCCCCCGCAGCGTCTCCAGGCTTGGGGGCAGGCCCAGCTCTGGCCACGTGTGGGCCGAGCTAGGGTGCTGGGCTGGGGGAGGCCACTGCCCTTCTGCTCCCCCTTTACCTCCTGCTCCTGGGGAAGAGGACTTTGTTCCAGGGCTGGGAGAAGCAGGCTCGGACGCTGGGTGGGGCGGGCTCCCCACTCCTATGCCTGCTGCCGGCCTCCAGCTCTGTGGGTTGGGGCCTGGGTGTAGGCTGTGGGTGTGGGGTTCTCCGGGTAATTCCTCACCTTTAATCCCTTGCAGCTGTTGTTCTGCCCAGGAGAGACAGTTGTGTTAGAGGGAAGGGAAATAGTTATTTTGAGTTGGCCACTAGCTTCTGACCAGGAGATAGAGATGGCCGTGCCGGGGCCTGACTGGAAGGGCAGCCGCATGATTAATGACAGGGGGTGTGGTGTGGGGAGTAGGACGGGGTCCTCGCTGAGATGGAGGATGTAGAAGGAGAGAGATGGGCCAGGGAGGAAACGGGCTCGGGAGGGGTATGCGGAAAATGGAGCACGTGTCCTGAGTGTAGTCTGGATTGGCTGGACGGGGTGGGGAAGGTGGACATAGCCTCCCCAGATCAGCCACTGGTAGCAGTGGGGAGAAAAAGCAGGTCCTTAGACCATGACTGGGGCTTGGGAAAGGGGAGGGGTGTCTTTCACTGAATGAGCTGCCTGTAAGGGACTGGGCTGGCCAGGCAGCCTGTGGTCACAGCCCCCCCTCTTCCAGGCAAGTCCTCCCACACCTCCCTCCCAACAGAAAGCAAATTTAGTGGATGTCTTCGGTGGCATCTGCCCTTTCTGCCAGTTGGGGTCACTTTAGGGCAATGAGATGAATGGAAGTGACCACTCTGGGCCTGGAAAAGTCATGTGGCCAGTAGCTAAGCCCTTTCCTTTAGGACATTCCAATGTGGGCTTTGCTACTTACCAGCCTGTGACCTCAGGATGCCAAGTTAACCTTACCAAGCCTTCCCCTTTCACAGAAATGGAAGGATGACAGAGAGGATGAAGGAAGACGTTTAGGGCAGGACCCAGAGCTCGAAGTGTTGTCATGGTGACAGCGATTGTCCCACTTCGTCATCCTCATGGGCATCGTAATGCTTGGCCTGCCTCTTGGGCCTGCACAGAGGGCGCAGGGAGGGGGTTCGTGGGGGAGGAGAGAGAGCAGCCTTCGCGGGGAGGAGATTGGAGGCTCCAAAGATTTGAGGAGGAGAAAGGAGCCCACTGGACGGTGTGGGGCCATGTCATTTTCTTCCCTGCTGTATCCCCAACCCCCGGGATAGTGCCCAGCACGGGTTTGGTGCTCAAAGCAAGTGTTTTGAATGAATATATAAACGAATAGGTGAATTTTTGAGTGACTCACTAGCCTCTGGGGGCGTGGACGTGCGCCGGGCCCTTGGCTAAACACAATGGGATGATGAATTCTCGCGCTGGTTCGTGACCCAGGACGTGGCGATCGGATCCCTCTGTCTGGAGTTTTAACGCGGAGATACAGAGAGAAGGGGGTCGTTGGCAGCAGGGGCTCAGGAAGCAGAAGTGAAAAATGGGCCCCCGAGAGCTGAGGTGGTCAGCCCTTCCAGGCGAGAGGCAGCCAGGGCGGGGAGAGGGGCTCCTCCTCCCTCTCCCAGAGTCCTTCCGTCTCGGAGCTACCCTGAGCGTCTGGAGGAGGGAAGTGTGAGAGGGAGAAGGGGGTGCTCCTGTGGCCTGCCCCCCATCCTAGACGCCTTCCGCCACGAGGAGCTCATTCGCCTCCATTCTCAGGCCCGACGTGGCGCCCTGCTGTGTAGCCCTCGTGGCTGCGGGAGCTGGGTCCAAGCCACCTCCTCACAGAGTGGCTTCTCTGGTGGGAGGAGCCCAGAGAGAGCCCCACA